CACTATGTTCAAAGAATAGATGGTCTTCATCTCAATTGCCAGTTGTGAACCTGTGGTGCAAATGTCATTACAATAGCTGCGACCAATATTTCCATTAACTGTCCACCCAAAGATATCCATCCCTTAACCTCACAATAAACGTGAGCCTACGTTCACCCAGTTTTTGGGATTTAAAATTGTGTATCATAATTGTGAGTCATGCTGCTCGATCAAATGATGACAAAACATCATATATACCATACAGCATAAATCTGAGGATGCAAAACTGGTTTCAGCTCAGCAAGCAATTGTTGACTCGTCTCCATCCCTTCACCATTGACGCTTCAAGTGATGGTGCACTCGCCACAATCCCAGCCTCTGTTTACTGCAGAATCTGAGTGTGAGCAAGTGGGATGATACATTCCACTGACGAAAACCATACAATTTGGTTACAAACCGTGTTCACGCCTGCACAGGTACATATCATGTAAGTGCTTCATAGCTAAGCTGCTAACGGTTTTTTTTGTGTGGTCCATTCTGCGATATATTTCAAGGTGCGATGTACTTATTTGTGTGCCATGCTAATCATTGACTAATTCCAGAGTCCAGCAGAGGAGCCTGACCTAGGGACCTGGGGACGGGTCAGGCAGTGATGGGGGCTGGCTCTCAGGCCCACTAAAGTGCATGCTGATCCCCTGCATGCATTAATTACATAAGCACTGTACTTGTATTCATCACATATGCACAGTACGTGACATACAATCTGCGTGGACATACAATGTACATTAAACATACACCGCAAATATGCATACTCTACACGACACATACACTGTTACGCATACGGTACACACAAAGATCCCCCGGATAGCCTTCACCGACTGATGGGGCAAGTGCTGTGAGCGAGCACCTATGAAAGGCTGACATGGCACACGAGGGGGTGGGTGGCCAGCACCACGCCGAGCCATCTTTGTCTCCCCAGTGGCGATGTTTACACACCGGTTCAAATAATTCTCACTGGTGTTGTCCGCGAGCGGGAATTGAACTCGGATGGCCAGGCTCAAGGGGCAGCGACATGACCACTGCGCCACCACTCTCCACATGGTACACACACACACACTTTATTACACATACTTTATTACACGAACACACTATTGCACATACGCAGTCTCCACGTACTTTACATGTCACATATACTTTACACAGTCCACAAGCACACGGACACACCATTGTATTCATGCTCTATTGGGTGTACACTATCCAGGGAGCTGCAGAGACAAAGGTTGATGCAGAGAAAAAGTTATTCCAATCTTTTGTTGGCTTACATCGTCACGACTAAATGCACCGATGTGATCTGGTGAGTAGGATAGGATTTTAGCATAATTTTTGACGTTATAACTCAAAATTTCAATTTCTTTTAACAATAGACCCATGACAGATTTTATTTTCTCCATTTGGATTTGCCAAAAAATGGAAAACAACAATTGAATAATTGAAAACTCCTACATTCTGCTATGGTTTTAGATGTATTCATTTTGATTCAAAGCTTTCGTGCCTGCAAGAATTCATACTCTTGGGTCCTTCGGTCAAGTCACGTAAATAAAAAATAATAGATCACGACGTTTCGATCGCAACACAAGCAACCGTCTTCTCGCCTGGAACATCACCGCTGATGACATGCAGTCACTGAAAATCAAACGTTCTATATTTACATTTAAATTAAAATGTAAATATAGAACAAGATAATTTGTTACTGAAAATCAAACGTGCACATCCACACGTGAATTCACCAATATTATTTACCCACACACAACCACAAAGACCCCTTTAACAGACTGTAGGGGCAAGTGCTGTTAGCGAGCACCTATGAAGGCCGGCATGGCACACGAGGGGGTTGGTGGCAAGCACCACGCCCGGCCGCCTTTGTCTTCCTCATTTAAGACCGAATTCATGTTAGGGAAGAGGCCCAGGACCCGTTCAGATAATCGCTATCGCTGGGGTTGGCCGTGCGTGGGAATCGAACTCAGTTCCCTTGCCAGGTTCGGAGTGTAGCAGCGCGCTAACCGCTGCGCCACCGCTCCCCACATACAAAAACACATTCAACACACACACAACACACGGTGTACCACACATATACAATGCAATACAACACACACACACAACACACTGTACAATCCACACATATACAGCACAGTACAACACACACACACAACACACTGTGTACAATCCACACATATACAGTACAACACACACACACAACACACTGTGTACAATCCACACATATACAGTACAGTACAACACACACAACACAGTGTACCACACATACAATACAGTACAACACACACACAACACACTGTGTACCACACATATACAATACAACACACACACAACACACTGTGTACCACACATATACAGTACAGTACAACACACACAACACACTGTGTACCACACATATACAATACAGTACAACACACACAACACACTGTGTACCACGCATATCCAGTACAGTACAACACACAGCTTATACAAAAGACAGAGACACATTGGGGCAAGTGCTGTTGACGGGACGGCACACAGCATCCGCCTTTGTCTCCCTCCCCCAGCGAGTGCCGGGTTCTAATTTGAGACCAAATCGATCGAGGCGGCGAGGTGCAGGCCCGGTTCAGAAAATCGTCACCGATGCTGGCCCCGAGCGGGGAAATCGATCTCGCAGCGCGCTAACCACTGTCCCACCGCTCCCCAGTTAGCGCATCTATACAACACACACACACCGCGTTAAACACACACACACATATACACAATACTACCGCGTTAAACACATACACACTACTACACGGGCTGTATAATCAACACACACACAATACTACACGGGCTGTATAATCACACACACAATACTACACGGGCTGTATAATCAACACACACACAATACTACACGGGCTGTATAATCAACGCACACACAATACTACACAAGCTGTATAATCACACACACACACAATACTACACGGGCTGTATAATTAATCAACACACACACACAATACGACACAAGCTGTATAATCACACACACACACACACAATACTACCGGGCTGTATAATCAACACATACGACTCACAAAGACAAATAACAAACTGTTGGGGGCACCACTCCCGGCCGCCTTTGTATCCCCCAGTGGCGATGTTTACCACGCTGCACCAGGTTACTCATTTGAGGCCGAGCCGACCTAGGGGGAGGCCCAGAGCCGGGTTCTGATAATCCGGTGATCGCGCTAACACCTACACTACCGCTCCCCCCAAACGTACACACACACACGTGTGTGTGCTCACACCACACCGTGCACACGGACGCACACAATGTACACAACAACAACAACACAGGGACGCACACAACAACAACAATGCACGGACACCACCACCAGACCACGTTGCATTCAAGAGGTGAGCAAATAAAGTGAGCGCCATCTTCCCCCCTCTGTGTGAACATTCCTCGGCATTGAATCGAGAAAGAACGGGAGGCCAGAGGACACACACGGACACACACACACACACACAGACACACACGTCCTCTCTCATTCACAACACGGATTTAGCAACAACAACCACCAGCAGCAGCGGTGACAACAACAGCCGCATTGGCAGGCGACTGCAGCCACCACAATTACCACCACCCACAAAAATCATCATTAATCTACAGCAAGCAACCTCAGCTAGTAAAGGTTTAATGTGTCAACCACCACCAATCACAACCACCAGCTGCAGCTTCGGCAATAGCAGCAACAGTAGCAGTGACGAACAACATCACCAACATCATCAGCATCATCATCAGCATCAACATCATCAACATCATCATCAATATGAACCGCAACCTCATCGACGCTTGCACGCGTCAACCGCCAGCGAGAAGCAAGCAGCAGCACCAATAACATCAACACAAGTGACACCACCACCAATAACATCAACACAAGTGACACCACCACCACCAACATCAACACAAGTGACACCACCACCACCAATAACATCAACACAAGTGGCACCACCACCACCAATACCATCAACAAGTGACACCACCACCACCAATAACATCAACACAAGTGGCACCACCACCACCAATAACATCAACACAAGTGGCACCACCACCACCAATAACATCAACACAAGTGGCACCACCACCAATAACATCAACACAAGTGGCACCACCACCACCAATAACATCAACACAAGTGACACCACCATCACCAATAACATCAACACAAGTGACACCACCACCACCAACATCAACACAAGTGACACCACCACCAACATCAACACAAGTGACACCACCACCACCAATACCATCAACACAAGTGATAGCACCACCACCAATAACATCAACACAAGTGACACCACCACCACCAATAACATCAACACAAGTGACACCACCACCACCAATAACATCAACACAAGTGACACCACCACCACCAATACCATCAACACAAGTGATAGGACCACCACCAATAACATCAACACAAGTTATAGCAGCACCACCACCACCAATAACATCAACACAAGTGACACCACCACCACCAATACCATCAACACAAGTGATAGCACCACCACAAATAACATCAACACAAGTTATAGCAGCACCACCACCACCACCAATAACATCACCACAAGTGACACCACCACCACCAATATCAACACAAGTGACACCACCACCAATACCATCAACACAAGTGACACCACCACCACCACCAATACCATCAACACAAGTGACACCACCACCAATACCATCAACACAAGTGACACCACCACCACCACCAATACCATCAACACAAGTGACACCACCACCACCACCAATACCATCAACACAAGTGACACCACCACCAATACCATCAACACAAGTGACACCACCACCAATACCATCAACACAAGTGACACCACCACCAATACCATCAACACAAGTGACAGCAGCAGTATTTGCAGCAGCCAAAATCAGCATGCACAACCGAATCATCATCATCAACAACAACAGCCCTCCCTCTCTCTACCTGCTGTCCCATGCGTGCCCAGCAGCAGCAGCAGCCACAGCAGCAGCACCGCGAGCCCCGGAGCTCGGACGCTCCTCGCCATGGCGGTGGAGCCCCGAGCGGGCAGCAGCAGGATGGTGAGCACTCTCTTGCTACAGCTACAGCTTATGATGCTGATGCTGCTGCTGATGATGATGGTGATGCTGATGATGGTGATGCTGCTGATGATGATGATACTGCAAGCTCGCGTGGATCCTCGAGATTCGTTTGGGACGGCTCCAGCATATCCGGCTTCCCTCGATGCCGCTTCTCTTCTTCTGGCCTCTCTCGCTCTCTTGTAGCAGACCCCCTCCCCGCCTGTCCCCAGTGGTGGGGGGGGGGTGGTGGGGGGGGGGTAGTGGGGGGTGGTGGAGGTGGGGGAGGGGGGTGGTGGTGGTGGGGGAGGGGGGTGGTGATGGTAGGGGAGGGGGGTGGTGGGGGGCGGGGGTAGTGGGGGTGGGGGTAGTGCGGGGTGGTGGAGGTGGTGGTGGTGGTGGAGGTGGTGGTGGTGGGGGGTGGTGGTGGTGGGGGTAGTGGGGGGTGGTGGAGGTGGTGGGGGGCGGGGGGTGGGGGTGGTGGGGGAGGGGGGTGGTAGTGGTGGGGGTAGTGGGGGTTGGTGGTGGTGGTGGGGTTAGTGGGGGGTGGTGGAGGTGGTGGTGGTAGGGGAGGGGGGTGGTGGTGGTGGGGGAAGGGGGTGGTGGTGGTGGGGGTGGGGGTAGTGGGGGGTGGTGGAGGTGGTGGTGGTGGGGGGTTGTGGGGATGGTGTGGTGGAGATGGTGTGTGGTGGGGATGGTGGGTGGGAGTGGGGGTGGTGGGGGTAGTGGGGGTGGTGGTGAGGATGGTGATGGTGGTGGTGGTGGGGGGTGGTGGGGATGGTGTGGTGGGGATGGTGGGTTGGAGTGGGGGTGGTGGTGGAGGTGGTGGGGGAGGGGGTGGTGAGGGGGGTGGTGGTGGTGGGGGTGGTGGTGGTGGGGGGTATGATGGTGGTGGTGCTGTGTTTTATGTTGTGGTCTCGCTGTGCATCTGCGGCTCTTTGGCTCTCAAAGTCAGAGACGCGCCGCCGCCTCCCAGCGGCCGAGGCGCGACACTGACGCTGTTGTGGATGCTGCTGTCGCTGTTGTGGCTGCTGCTGTCGCTGTTGTGGCTGCCGTGGCTGATGTTGTGGCCGCTATCGCTGTTGTGGCTGGTGTTGTGGCTGATGTTGTGGCCGCTGCCGTGGCTGTTGTTGTGGCTGGTGTTGTGGCCGCTATCGCTGTTGTGGCTGATGTGGCTGGTGTTGTGGCTGGTGATGTGGCTGGTGTTGTGGCTGGTGTTGTGGCTGATGTGGCCGCTACCGCTGATGTGGCCGCTGCTTCTGCTGTTGCAGCTGCTGTGGCTACTGTGGAACACTGCTGCTGCTGCTGCAATGGGATATTGGCATAACCACCCACGGGGTGTGTTTATTTTATAAATGGCTAACATCTGTCCGAATAAAAAAAAATACATCACACAATATCATCGGCGTGTTTCAGAGTTTATTTAGGTTCGATCGTGTTGGTATGGTCTTTTTTTACGAATAACCATCCATCATTCGAAAGAGTCAATCAAACCAAGTTGTCACGTGGGCAAATATTCCAAATTCATTAGATTTTTCAGCTAATTGGAATGTTGAAAAGCAAGCTAATGTTGACATTTTAATGTAAACCATATTTCAGATTTTTCTTGCTCTTTAATATTCTGCTTTGCTGAAAAATTAAATCAACTGGCATATTGTTTTTTTCCCACGTAGTAACTATATTTGATGTCGAGTGGTGGCGGGTAATAGTTGACATTTGTATAACTACACGACAATATCTGACCCAAAATAAACGAATTAATAATAATAATATCCGTAGTGAAAGCCTACGTATAAAACATAATCATTAGCGTCGTGGTGGAGAGTGTAAGTAACAAATAAGCAGACGTCTCCTTGTATTGTATTCTAAAAATAGACAATTTAACATCCAGAGCAATTAAACATATTCATGGCAGCAATTACCGATGCTGCCGTGGTTTAATGGTTGAGAGACACTGGACTTGTAACCCAGAGGTCGCCTGTTAAATTCGATCTCCTGGCGCGGCAGTTGAACCAATAGACGCGGGGTTTTTGCTATTTAATCTTCTGTCAAATTTGACACAACAGATCGCGAGAGGTGGGATCCAGTGTGGATATTCCTACTTCCCACAAGATGTCTGGCTAGCGTGGAATAAGTCGGCTTTAATATCATCTGTAGTAGGGCACTCTTGAGCTCTCTCCAGTGGACCCTCTTCTGCCAGCAATGGCGTGAGCCAGAAATTGAAAGGCTGCACCTTTTACTTTTCATAGAAGTACTGTCATAAATAATTAGTTTCGTCTTACCCGTGCCAAAAAACCAACTTGATAGAACGTTCGGTTTGTTTAATAATAATGCATTGAATTTGCATGCAAGCAATAATATCTTGCTCAAGAAATAACACCGCTCCTCTGAAGACGCGAAAGGTGAATCCGCTACCTGATTAGCAAGCTGACAAGCCAGTGAAATAAATGTCTGTTTTGTGAAGGACGAATTCTGATTATATGAATGTGGCGTTGAAATATACTTCAAAGCCCTTTATTTTTAGGATTGCATTATAAAAATGAGACTTATGTAAGTAAGTAAGTAATATTTTTATATATATGATACTCGAGAATTAGTTTGAGGCTTCAGAAAATTATCAGACAAAATTTTTCTGATCAGAAAATGATCAGACAAAATTTGAAACATGCCCTTTACAACAAACAGCATGCTTTTCATACTTTTCCACATACAGTAAATGTCGACTTGACGGAAACTAGATTATTCTACCACCTAAAGATGATCGTTATAAGAGTATGCAGAACAAAAGTATGCTGAAGATTTCAGGGAAAAGTTGAGATTTAATTTTCCTAATTTAAATGTTTAGTTTTAATCATCAGGACAACATCCAGGAATCAGAATAAAAATCCAATCAATTGTAAAAAAAAACCTGGTCTTGAAAAATCCAACTAATAACATGGTAACAATACAACAATTTTAGAATAAAACTATAACATACCATTTTGATTTAAAGCTTTCGTGACTGCAGGGATTCATATTCTTGGTTCTGTCGGTAAAGTCACGTAGAAGGGAAATAATAAAATAAGCATATTATTATCACCACGCACCTGTCAGCCAGCCAGCCAGCAAAACTTTTTCTAACATGGTATGTTATATTCTTGGTTCTTTCGGTAAAGTCACGTAGAAGGGAAATAATAAAATAAAATGGTTATGCTTATTTTATTATTTCCCTTCTACATGACTTTACCGAAAGAACCAAGAATATAACGTACCATGTTAGAAAAAGTTTTGCTGGCTGACAGGCGTGTGATGATGTCACCAACCACATCTGCGTGGTAGCGTCACCCGAGTTCACGCCTCCCCCCTTAATCCACCCTCCACCCTGGCCGTGTTATTCCACGAAAATGCGTGGACCAGTGCAATTCAAATTTCAAAATACCGTCGTTTGCTTTGCCGCTTTAATAAACAAACTCAGCCAAATTGAATTGTTATACGTTGCTCAGATTCTGTATTGCATTCATATTCAGGGCCATTACACAAACACAAACTCGATGGCAGAAACTGAATTTGGAGCTTTCGTGACTGCAGGAATTATTCTTTGGTTCTTTCGGTAAAGTCACGTCTTTATACGTGACTTTACCGAAAGAACCAAATAATCGATGACAGAACTTCAATGGCGTATAGATAGAGAACGCCAACTCCAGTGTGGGACAAATCTGTGGAAATTCAAAGTGCAATCTAATGCAGTAATACTTATCAGGCAACAACATGGCGATTGTAATGGATACGTGATGCCCTCAACCTATAAAACATCACGAATCAGTGCCACATTTCTTTGCTCAAATTTCGGATATCCATGCTGACGTGAAAATAATTTAGATCATTACCACGTGATCCACTGCAATCTTACACTCACAACGACAAATGGTTTACATCACACTATGCTGCAACATGTGATTGGCATCTTACCCTGCACTGCATACAACCTACACAACTGTTGAAGTGCACATCTGGAAGGGTACACCATTTTAACGAGAACAGTACTGTAATTATGAAATTTGACGAGGTGTTCCTCAATCTAGCTTGCTATCATGGTTGGTTGGTCTATAAATTGCCCATTATAGTCCGAGTGATCCTCATTAACAATGTGTATACACACCAGTCAGTTGTATCCCCGTTTATGAATAGAATAATTATTGAGGCATCATTCCATATCAGCCTTGTTTTGCTCAAATACATTTAATGTTGGTTATTACAATGACCATGTTGTTATCAATGGTTATACATTTAAAATAATGTATGCCTTTATTTCTGCAATACCATTTTCACAAGCCATTGTCCTGTCACTGAGAATATCATTGGTGAGAGCATATCTTGACCGAATATTGATTTGTATTTAGTTACTTTATTTAATCATATTATTTCGTAACTTACATTGTTACGATGATAGAAGATTATGCAAACACTTAGTGGTAATTGTGCACGAGGGAACACCGCATTTAACAAAACATGTATTGAATGTAATGAAATAAATCAATTTAAAATATTTGAATTAAATATACGTGTATATATTGTATATTAATGGTTGTAGTGTCCTGTAAGTTCAGAATAATCGCAATAATTGCTATCGTAGTTGTCATTGTAGCCGTTAACTCTGTAATAGACTCTAATGGAGGGGAAACCTTGTGTAATTGTGGTGCAAATTGAGCTGATTCTGATGGACAAGCCCTAGATTGCCCGAGACGTTTTTGTCCTCCGCAAATCCAACAACACAGCAATCGATCAAACGTGGGTACAATGCAAGTTACACTTTAAGCTAAACAGGCAAGAATCACAGCGGAATAAAAAATATAACTTTAACATTGTCTTAATGTCCAATATCTTCGACAAGAAAACCCAATCGATTGTCTAAGAACCTTATTCACAGTACTATTGGATAACCATTTTTCATTCTTACACCAAGCTAATTTACATCACCAACCAAAAGACCAAACGAACAAAAGATGGGGGTGGGGAGGCCGGGAAAGAAAAGGCGAGGGAAAGATTACGAAACCGAACAATCTGCCCCTCTCAGTCTGCTCAAATCAATGCAGTTAGTTGTCCGTGTCAAACGGAGGAAACATCACTGAACGGATATTATGAACAATCGACAAAACTGGTGATAGGTTGACTGCCAAAGGAGCGAATGCTCCTGAACGGACTACTGTGGTCAGTAACGAGGTCAGTTTCCGCACGAGATGTGCAGCATCGGGAGACAATGCAGGAAGCTGTCGGCATGGTGGGTTTGAGGGCTTCACCACAACAGTGGATAGACCATGGCTGATGATGAAAGGATCTCTCCTATTGCAAAACTGTTATAATCGTAGACCTCATGGGCAGTTTAAGCTCACCCCATGCAATTGTGACGTGTAGCTGCAATTCTGGGGCTGGGAAGCCTATACAGTACTGGCCATAATTTTATATTTTGATCAACATGCCACAAAAGTTCACAATGTATGGCTTCGTAGCTAAATCATATCTTTTCTTTGGCCGTATGTTACACCGCATATCATCAAACATTGGGCGGTGACATGGCTCAGTGGTTGCGCATTCATTGCTTCTTGCAGAGGTTTATGGTTCAAATCCAGTGGACGCCCTGCTTAATACTGCAGGCGTATCGCCCATAAAATACGTGCCGTCTGCTTCATAGTTGCCATTGTGACATCAATCACATCAGTAGGTCAATGTGTCAATATCAGACCAAATTTGAAAAGCTACCAATATTTTTTGTATTTTCTCAATTGGAATATAGTGTACATGAAAATTACCACCCCTAGTGTGAGTTCAGAGACTCAGGCTTTCAGTGGGTAAACGAGCATAATAATACAATTATGAGAAAATATCAAGGGAAACAAGATGGTACTGAAAACCATTTTTAAGAGTCAAAACTTTAATACTTCCCTCAAAAGATCACACTTTGAATTAAACTGACAAATCATGAGTACAAAATTGTATGGAGTGATATTTTTGTATTTAGTTAAAATATTAAAGAGTGTAAATTACACAATACATTTCGAATATGTTCACAATTACCAATGTATTACATAATACCTTTGTATGGTTGATACAGAAAACATGACATTTGTATTAATGCGGTATACCGTTTCTGTTTGACATCTACTTTGAATGAAAGCATCCTAAAAGCAAACAAGTTTGTGAAAATATTAGCAATAATGAAAAAATATTTAATAGTACAGAACAATAAAAAAGTTAATATTAAAAATAAATAAGCGACATGATCACAAGGTGAAAATAGCTAATACAATTTACAGAATATTCTTCATGTTACTAACATGCAGAATATAACACGCACAAAAATGTAAAACATTTTATTGCATTTTATTATATATAACATGGATATGGTACAACGTTACGTGGTTGCTTCATGGCTATCTTTTGCCATGTCGCGTTCAATTTGTGCACTGTTTTACGTGCTTACGACGATGAAGTACGTGACATGAAGTGAGGAAGGTAGGGAGGGGGCACGTCAAATATGGGCCAGTTTAGTGCAATATAAAAACTATAGTTTAAAAAAGTACGTGAACGTTTATAGAAGTTGATAAAATGTAGAATGATTGACAAAGTGGATTTTTTTTATGATGTTTTATGTGGACAGATGCATGCTATTATAAAAATACAACTATACATTTTTTTACAATAGATCTTGCAATAATCCAATATTTAAGATCATTGATAACAATTTACAAGCCAACACCTTAAGAAGAAATAAAACCCACTATGGAATAATCACACGACAGCATTACATTAGGAAATGGATTTGTCAAAGTGCATTTCACATTAAATCTTTACACATAGTGTTGAAAACCACATGCACTGGGCACCTTTTTTACGTCTGAAGATTAAACCTTGAATCGTGAACTAAAGCCTGAACAACAACACTCTTCGTGCAAATATGAGTGTTTATCCAAGACAGACGTGTGATTAGAGTAATTTATTTTTTTTACAATTTTTCATGGGAAAGGCCTTGCAAAGAACACGTGGTTTTATTGTAAAGTTTACAATTAAATATAAATAATGTATTTATTTATTTACTTCGTCTTGTTATTTTCACAAATATTTTCTCTTGATTAGACATTTTTTAAAATTTAATTTTATGAACCTTGTCTACAGCTGTCCACGAAATACCATTCTCAATGCTATTGAGAAATAGCAATGTTTTATTTTTATTATTTGGTGCTTTTTAAAGGAAACTTTTTATCTTGATTTAAAGCTTTCGTGACTGCAGGGATTCATATTCTTGGTTCTTTCGGTAAAGTTACGTAGAAGGAAAATAATAAAATAATATTAATATAAAAAAAATTTATATTAATATAATTGTATTATTTCCCTTCTACGAGACTTTACCGAAAGAACCAAGAATATGAAACTTTGTTATATTCATATGGTGGATTAGTTGACATTTTTATCAACATCACATTTAGTCAATGCGATAACAAAATAAGCACTTGATCATGGTTTACTTGTCGAAACTTCAATGTCCTTCTGTTTAGCATGCATCTATCACTTTGCAATGGAACAAGCAACATTAGTGTTATTGAACACACGCGAGGAACAACACATGTAATACTGTAGACTGCTGCTGCCACGAAGCAACACTTTTAGTTTTGTTAGAAATGAGTCAACTGCTTCAGTCGTTTTCCAGGCTCAAGTCTCTTCTCACCCTCCAATCATACCCAGCATCACAAGCTCAGTAATCCGCCTTCATCTTGTGCTGTTGCCCGTCAATCTTAGCCAGGGTCTTTTTTATGCGCAGACCAGTGAGACGGGCGGATGGATTCTGATACCAGCACTCTTTCATCACCCGAGCTAAGGCTGCCAACATCTACACTCCACAAAGAGGGGAAAAAAAACAATTGCAAATGAGGGAATCACATGAACACATGCAAATCCAGAGATGTCAAACTGCCTTCATAAATGACCAGACGTTATTTTTGCGTTGCCGAATTTTTAAAAAAGTATTTTTTAAGCAATCTACTTACATGGAATATTGTTCTAGACTTTAATATCAAATCCAATAACGGTATGAATACACATAAGGTTACTTAACATCTATATTTGTATAGGTAAGCTTTACTTAAAAAATGGAACGCCATTGAAATATAACAGAATTACACTTTTTATTTACTTAATATGAGCAACTAGAACTGATTAGCCATGTCTGTAACCATATCTCACTTGATTAATAACAAGGAGTATTAAATAGTTTACATTGAATACTGATAACACCTCTTTCTTGTGCTTATTGCTTATTCATTTTCTTAGAAGACATTTGCTATTTTCAGCTGTAGGTAAACCAACATAGGCAGATTTAAAGTTCAAAGCTGCAAATGTATTTATGTTAATATTTACAATATTTTTTATAAAGTACCTTAGCATTCATTTTCCAAGATCTTAAATACTTGTTTATTGTAATAATGTTCTCATTTGACATTTTTTACCATTTAATTAAATAAAAAATACGTATAATTTCCAGTACGTTACCAATACAATGCCGGATTAAAGTCCCTCCACACCAGTGACGTGTGGTGAGGTCAATGGCTGGGGAGGCACTGGCTCGTGTCAGAGCCAGATTCACACACTGAGGGGGGCGTGGCCTCACTGAGGGGGGCGTGGAGGCAGATGTGATAGCTGCCTCCCCTGGTGCTTTTTCATTGCAGTTTCATGACGAGACCAGCGAGCCTAAATATCTTTATACACATACGTGAAATAAGTTACCTGGAGTATGGAAGGCGAGGACATGAAATGAAGGGGTCTACAAACATTACATTGGTGACATACTGAGATAGTAACAGGCACATGCTTATTGCCCGCGCTCCATCCAGTTACTGAGGGGTTGTGCAATCAGAGGGGAGGCTGAGCTCGTCGCTGCCTCACCTCTCGTCTCTTCCTGTATTTGCAGCGGAGCTCCACAAAAATGGCGATTTTGAATATAGAAATTATTGGAATCGTATAAAAATGACATTTATAACACAGATGAGTGCAAAAATCGTAATATTTATTTTATTTGATTATTCTTTTTTTTTCGTAACAGCTATTTTCATTGGAGTATGACGACAGGTGAGGCCCTGCCTCCCCTGCCTCCCCTGACCGCATGTCCCTGCTCCACACCATGGCAGCCATGAGGGTTGTTTAGCCATACTTCACCGCACTGAGTGTCCAAGACTGAAGGAACCAAAATGAAGTATGAAATGTTCTGGCAAGCTCATCTGCCTTGTATTTTTTCTTTTGTAGGGTGTATAGATGTACTCACCGGGTCAGAAAACCAGCGATTTGGTATCGTGGGTCGCTGTTGATCCACACACACCAGCTTTCGCATTTCATCAAAGCTCGGGTCACATGGCACAATGTCATGGAAGGGGACCTTGTACTCTTCAGCAATACCTGTGTGGAAAAGACCCTCGTGCACAGAAAGGTCAATGCCAAGTGAGATTAGTTCAGAGACCTCTTTCACTGGAACCACTGGTTTTGGAAAAACCTCAAAATGAAAGGTTTAAGATAGATCTGTCTTCACCATTAAAATGAATTTAAGCAATGAGGCCTAATCAATGATAATCTAACACCACATTTCTTTACATAATGGTATATGTTATTTAGTTTTATCAATGGCTATAATGAAATACATTAGGTCTACAATGCAATCTTCTCGCGAAGATACTGCATAGAATGGATTGCAAAGATAAACAGATATTTAGGATTTTTTTTTACAAAAAAAGCCAAATAAACGCATCAACAGCAATGATAAAGATGTCTGCGATTTGTATTGATTCTAAAGGAATGATACTATCACATATGTGCACTAGAGCTGGGCAATTTGTGCAGGAATCACATTCAATTGCTATGACTCTACCCCAGATGGTTCCTGTAGACATTGCAGGCAAATCCCATAAAAACACGAGATGGAGCACTAACAGAGCACGTGATTTACTGTGGCACACCAATTCACCGAATTCCATACCACGTATATGTATATTGTACAGCTCTTTTCGTGCACATATGCAGAGCAGCAATGCTTAGCAACCTCATGAATTATAAACTCAACACATTCGTCAATAAGATGACGTAACCACCGCCATACACAAATTGTCTCGTGCACCTCTTGTCAAGGCTACGCACACAAGTAGCTGCCACATGTATGCCAGGCTACACATATCGTTGCTCTATGTATCACCGAGGCTAAAGCTTCTCCATACATTCTAGCCACGCTTTTGGCATGGGAAAGAACCATGCCCAGGTCGGCCTCCATAAGGCATATCCTGGCCCCAAAGTCCTTCTTGCCTTTACCTAAATGGCATGCCAGACTGAGTCGAATATTGTTCACGAGGCATCGGCCATACATTTTAATGGGCACTCATTCTCTACCCCGTTTGCGACCCTGGTGCGGCCGGGTATGGGTACGGGTAAGGAATCAAAACCCGTTTGCGACCTCTGATACAGGTGTTGCTCGGTGTGATAAAACATCCCGTGTGCTCTTTTTTTGGGTCGCATTCAATTACGGCTCCCCCGCCACCCAATTTGCATGCATTCATTCGAGCAAGGTCGCCCAATGATCAACAACCCATGTAACCGCAGCTCACAAGTATCGTGTCTGCTTCATGAAAAAATAAAGACAAGTAGGAATGTTGGAGTAGAGACAAGAATGCTGATTGTGGACATTGATTTGGTGGGGATAGTTGTATTCGGGGAAGCCGTTAACACTTAGGGAGAGAAAAGCTAAAACCAACTGTCGCCGTACAGAATTTGGGATATGCATTAAGCATAAATTATGTTTCTGATGTACTGTACTGATTTTTTCTTTTTAATCCTAATTTTAAAATTATTGCCGAAATAGAATTCTCAATTAACCCATGCAGTATTACAAATGATTCCTATTTGTAAAGAATGTATTCTCATGCTCTAATTAAGTATTTATAAAAGGCCAATATAGCCTCAAAATTACAGCTCATATTTTGACCTCAAAGCAATGAGAAAGAGGACATCTACATTTTTTCTTATGATGAGTAATGCACGTGATTTCACGCGGAGGCTTTCACGATCAACATTATGATTAATAATTATATTGTTTGAGTTGGAGTGTGTAAGTGTGATACCAATTAGAGCTAAAACCCTCCACCAGACATTCAGGACACACAATCAAGGATTGACACCCGAGATGGGTAGATATATATTGCAGAGAAATATACCATGGAACTCGAGGGAAAAAGAGGAGAACGAGGGTGGAGACAATGCCCGTGGGGAGGAGTTACACTTGGAGGTGTCCTTCTCCCCACCCCCCGTTCCATTGATTGCAAAGATTTTGCAGAAGGTGCGCTAGGACAGGGTCAGGATCGTCATTGTGGCTCCACGTTGGCCGATGGGATGCCCACTCTGACATCCAGGTTGTTGAAAGCTTTAAGGGCAGAGCATCCGGTGGGTAGGTTCGTGGTTCCACCTTGGAATTACCCAAAGGTGCCGAGTGGTCTCTGTGAGCCACCCTTTGGTTTCTGGGTGCCTGCCGTTTGAAGTGGCTAACACTCGTTGCTAACACTGGTGGGTTTTTTTGGTGGAAATCACTTTCACAATTCACACGTGTTGAAGGTATTGATGATGAATCTACCATTCATAGTTTTGCACAAAGACAAGATGGTCCTTTGCACATCACCTTGCTTTTTTACAAAGGTGATGTCCAAATTCCAAATGAACTGGGAGATTTTTTCCCACTCTTTTCCATCTCAAGCCTTTCGGGTCAGACAAGCAATGTAGGTTGCCCAAGCTAGATATGTAAGAGTTCTATCATTATATCTGATAGAACAGCAGAGTTTTTACAGTCCGGACACTTATTTGTTTGTACTGTATGGGGATCGGAGGAGGGAGAGGCTGTGTACAAGCAGCATATTGGATGCTTGACATTCTTCGAAAACATTGGTTTAACAATCAACCGCATCAGAACATCAACCAGGCAATGCGTACATCTCCTTAATGAATGGAAATGTCAAGATAAGCCTTAGTGTGATTGTGGTCATGCAACCCAAACTATGGACCATGTAGTAAACCACTGTAGTCTGCACTACTTCAATTGAGAAATAGCAACATGACATAGAACCCCCTTTCGTGGCAAGCAGACCTCAACATTGACATTTGGCTCCTGAACATTTTGCCATATGCAAGAGGAGAAGAGTTCATGTTGGCTCAGGCTCTCAATTTGAGATGCTAATATTATTGAGATGCCAAGGGACAGCAGACTCAAAGCCATTGCAGTTTCCTGGGTTTTGTCAACCAGCAACCTGGGAGGGCCTTTTTTCATTTGTGTTGTCATTATTGCCTGGGCACCTGGGTTTCTGCTGAGATCACAATTTGAAAGGGCTGGAGGCTCTGATGTAGATTAAAATATCAAGATTAAAGGAGATCTTGCAAGTGGAGTTGTTTTACGAAAACAAGTTTCGTAACTTATGTTAGCTCGCTTTCTTGAGAAGTTCGTCAACATGTTTTCTTCACTCCTCTGCCATCTCCCCTGCCATCTCCCCTTTCATATTAAGGTTTCTAGAAGTGTGTTGACATTGCGATACAGGGTCGAGTTTTTTCTGTTGCCCAGGTGTGTGTTTCGTTTTCTATTGTTGTTGAAGTAGAGCTTTGTTCGTGCTGTGGTACCTTGAAAAGTGTTAACGTTTCTGGTGAGATCATTAGGGGACGACATGATGTGCGGTGGTCAAAACCCTTTCACCTCTGGTTATTCTGGGGATGCGCCTCTTCAGGTTGGAGTTTGAAGACTAGAGGAGGGAATGCGTAATGTCAGCTAAATAAACCATGCTAATGAGTTTTAACTCTCGCATTGTCACATGAGAGAGCAGTTCAGGGATGTAATTTGTGCAAACTGCTTCATTGAAGGGTCCTTCAGTTTTTCCAGCCATTACCCTGCTAATCTCAAATTGAACAATATTCACTGCAGATAAATTAACTTATCATCGTGCCATTTTCATTCTGCAACCTTGACAATGGTGGAAAGTATTGGAGGTCATCGTCTGCTTAATTATATTTTTTGCTGAAGGCAATTTATGGTAAATCGGCAAACAACGCAAGGGTAACTCATCTCTCTCAAGCATGGGTTTGGAACGAACATTATGTAACGGCCGGCCCATACGTAGGCACATGGGCATTGCGCCAGAGCCGCGATCTGAACACGGGTCCCTGCTACCGATGCATCTACTTACCGTTATTGACCGTGCGCCGGGCGATTTCCCAGAGGACAAGGCCAAATGCCCAGACATCAGCTCGCTTGAACGAGTCAAAGCAATCGGCCTGGATGCTGTCATCTAGCAGCTCGGGTGCCATGTAGCGCTTGGTGCCCACGCGTGGGTTCTGCCCCAGATCCAGCATGTTGGTCATCTGCGAGTGCATGACAGCGAGCCCTGCGCACACGAAAGGGTAACGGGCGTTACACATTAAAGATGGTCATTGCATCGAGCGCTTTCAAATGCGGTTCTGCAGCCGTCTGGAACGCTTTTCCTTCCGATATTAGGAAGTCACTGGAGCTATGCACTTTTGAATCTAGATTGTTTAGTTTAGTTTGTTGTCTTTCCTCCGCACCTCCGATTAGCATGGTAGGCTGCGTATGATGCGGAAGAAGTTCAACATACGTACAGACAAACAAGCATCCCTACGTGGAACAGACACACGCTGTTGTGGAAACTGCTGTTATGGAGAACCTATGCAAGGCAGACATGGCGCACAAGTAGACTGGTTGCATAATGTTGCCAGCACCACATCCAGGCGCTTTTGCCTCCCCAGTGCTGATGTTTACACACTGCACCAGGTATTCATTTAAGGCCAAGTCATCCTAGGGGACGTCCAGGACTAGTTCAGATAATTACCACCAATGATAGCCATGGCCAGCAATCCAACTTGGGCCGAGGGGTTTGTGCCGCACCCCACAATAATCCTCACATGCGAAGTCAATTAAAAGTGTCTTTGTTAAAATTACCATGGAAAGCGCGCTCATCTAAGTTAAAAGTGGAAATGACCCATCCCCATGACAAGGTCCAGTCTATAATGGCAAACACTGTTGTCTTCCCCACAAAATGGTTACTCATCTTATTGAACCCTGACCAGTGTATGAACTCACAACATTCTGATTGCTAGTCAAGTGCTCTAGCAAATGCCACCACCCATTAAGGAATGTACATCCTGTAAATAACATCCGGTGTAAATATGAAACACGTAATACTGGTCGCACATGACAGACACTCATTAATGGTATTTTCAAAACAATCCGAGGCACGGCCCTTTGAGTCCTGAGACTCAACAAGGCTTTCTTGGGTAAAAATTGGCAAAGAAAATATTATACAAAAAAAAGATTACACGTGAAATCATTGCACATTCCCCAAAAACTAATGCTGTTGGGAAGCAGCTCGTTTGGCAATGCTTTATACCGGTGCATTGTTAAACATGAAGGCAATGTTCCCATGCCGCCACGATTCAGTTGCGCCGTAAACAACTCGTAAAGGCACAAAAAAATGTGTCCATTGCCAATTTAACTCTTTATAAGGATAACTGTACAAAACTTCGATATTCTGTTGCCATCTATATGTACAAATATATATAATATAGGTACATATGGAGAATTACCAGGTTACATTTTCCAAAAGTAATTTTCTAAACGACATATGAGTGTAGCCACAGCCGTATGTCTGCACATTATGTAAAAAAAAAATCAGTATTCATAGATTACATTTTTCTTACACCACCAGCAAACCAACCCAGAAACAGTGAATAGAGCAACCTCCAACAGCACAGACATACAGTGCATGTTTATTTAATGACTTTCAGTGTCCAGTTAGTTATGTATACTTTCACTCACTGCAAAGATAACAGGTTTGGCAATAGGTCCATGAAAAAGTCGTAACAGGTTATGCACACCCAAGCGCACACCCCCCCCCCTCCCCACCACCGCTCCTACCCAAATCGGCGATGCAGCACTGCCCATTGTCTTTCACAAGGATGTTCTTGCTCTTGATGTCGCGGTGCGCGATGCCCGGCTTGCCCTGCGTGCCCACGATCTCGACGTGAAGGTGCGCCAGCCCGGCGGCGGCCGACAGCGCGAGGCGCAGGCACGCGGCCGCGTCGAGCGTGGCCGAGTGCAGGTGGTCGTACAGCGACCCAGTCTCGTGGAAGTGCGTCACCAGCCACAGCTGCGTGCTCGAGTTGCGCGATGTCATGTCTGATGCGATGAAACCTGCGCCACCGTGGGCGAGCGGGCGGCGATGATTCCATGCAACAAAAAAGGGACATGCGCAAAATAAGGAAAGACGGATGTTTTGCACGACGGAACCACAGGGTCCCGCAACGGCGCACTGTGGGTTTGTGTAATTGTGCAAGGCTGCCGTCGATCCAGCGCAAGGGTCATTGCCTCCGTGCCACAAGGGGACCGCGAAGGTTAATTGACCATACTTCACCAAACTAGTCGGCGCAAATTGTTGGTGAAAGTGGGGCCGCATATACGCAGGAGTGTAGAGGTACAATGGGAATATGTGGCACTGCCCTATGCAGTCCTACATTTAATCCTACCGCCTATAACGGTGGTCACCATTCCGCAAGCACTGTCCAGGCTCAAAATCCTGCTTAACATTCAATATGTGACAGGATCAGGCACTGGGTGATTTAGTTGCAGGCAGTGTGGTTTAATTATTTGTAAGCGTGTACACACATGCTCTATAGATTAGGGATCCGATGTTTAATACGAGCAGTTATTTACATAGTCATTAATGTATTACTGAACCTCTGTGACCATTTTTCTGAAGGGTACTGGGGTCTCTGGTAAATTTCATATTGAATATATTCAAACTCAATGACCGTGTATATAAATTATGCTTAACTAATGAAATATTATTTTAATGCATGAGGATACGAGTATTATTTTACAATGAACAAGGTGGGATGTAACTATAGTTCACCATTACATTTCGAATGGCTTTAGTTGCATGCATTCTATCTCATGGTTGGACGGCGCTTAACCCCATTACACGTTTTGAATGATAAATATTTGTACATCTTCTTGGTTCTTTCGGTAAAGTCACGTAGAAGGGAAATAATAAATCAAAATAAAAAAATTATTTTATACAAATGTTTTATTTTTTTTACTTTATTATTTCCCTTCTACGTGACTTTACCGAAAGAACCAAGAATATGAATCCCTGCAGTCACGAAAGCTTTAAATCGAAAAATGTTCGTACACTTTTAGGTTCGAGTAATTATGAAATAACTTATAGCCCTTTGTAAATCCATTACCGAATAGAAGCAGAGAGGTTTGTTTGTTTGCCCATGTATGTATGTATGTTGAACTTCTTTTGCACCGTATCTTGGCCAATCGGAGGTGCGGGTCGGTTAGTGCGGATTGTGGTGATGGGGTCGTGGCTAAGGTAGGACTCGGTTCAGATATCATGAGCCACTGATGCTATCTGAAGCTAGTAATCAAACTCAGGTGACCGGATTTGTAGCGCGTTGTGGAGCAAACGAGAATATTTGTCTATTCACTGTACTCACAAATAAAACAAGCCTTGCGTGTTAAGTTTGTGGTCCCCTCCCACCCCTCCGATTACCACGGTTGGCTACGTACGGTGTGAAATAAGTTCAACACACATACATGAAATAGGCCAAATTGGCTTCACTTTGTTACTTAATTGCTTTTAATGTTGCAAAATAAATGCAATTATGCGTTGTTATTCATGTGGGAAAGTACATGCGTGGTTTATGTGAGAATCAGTATGCATTGAAAACGTCATACACTGATGGACCATGAAACGTAAAAAACAACAACAACGACAACAACGCTGTACCAACTACAGGTCAGTCAACCTTGCTGGGACTTTCATGCCACAGAATTTGGGTATCCGTGGGATGGCACTGAAAATTGATGGCAGTGGCTTAAAGAGCATCATCAGCATAAATGTAAGCCACGCATTCAAGTATCCAATATCTAAGTGCAACGATGCAAATGAGATTTCATCAATCGTGGAATGATGACACCATCGTTATTCTTTTCGAAAAGGGGAGACAGCACTCATCTGAAGAATTACAGAGCCTCCTATCGCAAATATCGTTTATGAATCACGAAGATCACTGGGAACAGCACAATGGGAAATTTAGAGGCCAACCAAGCGCATGTGAATGGACTGGATTTGGGAAGGTTTTTCAACCAACGACCACATAGATGCTACAATCAAATCCTAAAAATGACAAATTAATATCAAGTACCACTATATCTGACTTGTATACATTTTGAAACAGTTATTCAAGCTCTCACAAACCAATGCATATGAATTAAAATTAAATAATGAATGAATTGCTTACATTAAGATTGCATGAAGAAATCAGTAAAATACAGATCAGAACAGGAAACAGGCAAGGGCATACACTCTCACCAAGGTTATTTTGAACAACAGAATGTCACAGAATAGATTGGAGCAACATAGGCTAAAAAACAAATGTCAAGTTTTTTTATGATATAATTTATATATATAATAATTACTTCCCCTTTATAAATTCACTCCCGGATGACGGTATCTCCACACAATGTCAGCCACGGGAGTTTTTTCCATACTTCACCATGCTGGCCAATGCAAGGGGAAAAACCGGTTCAGGTATCACTCCATCACTGATGTTAGCCATGGTCAAGAATTGAACTGAAGGGAGAAGCACAGTGCGCTAAACACTGGACCATCACTCCACCCCGCAGTTATTGATATCGCTACAATATTCATGAGGTGGAATCTGCTGGATCAGTAATCTTTCTACGCACCGTACTCAGCAATGAAAACAAAGTCAACGGCCCAACAATCACCAACACTTCAATGGACCCATCCACTTTTGTGCCGGAAACAACAGTTGCCAGTCACTGGAAATGCATCACATTGTCACAAGAGATCCCTGATTTTCTTGCATTTTCTCTAGCCAATTTGTTAT